TGATGTAGGAAGGGTAATTTTTTGGGAACCATCTTGGTCAGGAGCACGGTTTGGTCTTTTTTTCCGCGTAGGTTTCGCGTAGGAAGATTCTTTATGCCTTTATTTACGTACAGAGAACGTTCATGGCAAGAAGAGTAAATATAAGTGTTTACTTAGCACATATTTGGGGTTTTACATACACTTTTCCTCTATTAGCAGGGACTCGACACTCTTGAATAACTACTAAAAATTTACGACGTAATTATAAACAGCAGTACGGTCGCCAATCTCAAGAATTGTTGCAATGTATGCGAGGTTGATTTAGCCGCGGTAATCAATCACAGAGGAAGCAAGATTCTACCAGTTTCTCTAATTATTGGTTCGATGTCAATGAAAGAACAGATTTACAGGGGTGGAATGAGGACCTTGATAGTGTATATGTACCAGACCATGTCAATTAGTGATGACCGTGTGTGGTGTTCGGAGTCATTCTCACATCGTATCCCTCTACAACTTGACGTTCTTTGCATTCCTCGTTGTTTGACTGATAATGGGCAGTGTTCGTCCGCGTTAATTGGTCTGCTGATGCGTGTCTGGAATCCGTGACGCGTGACAGCCATCATCTTTTGCTGTAGCGACATATACTTGAGCTATGCATGATATGGCAGTCGGCACCGAAGGCAGTTAACAGGTGCACCTTTGATATCATGAGCGATATGTTGGCTGTCAGCCCTTAGGCACTATTTCCTTGCTTTGATCCGCCCATATGACACTTTTCCTGTTGAGAACAAACCGTCTTTAATCGTTCCAATGGGGCTGTCATTTAAAAAATGTTCTATTTAGATAATATCATTGGATAAGTGTCGACCCTCCCCAATTCATTTTCTCTACACACTTAACAGGTTGAATATTGTACAACCGTTGTCGTGTTAGTTTATAATATTCCGCAAGGTATTCTAAAACTACTTCCTGTCTTACATACGAGTATCTTTAACTTCGACTTCATGCGGACTGGTGCTTTGAATCGGCATCTGTTTTCAAACTCTAATCTTTCTGACAATTTCTCGGAATTCTTTTTACCATTTCAAGGCTTCTGCCGTACCTGACTGCAGAAATTGGATACATAAAATGAACAAGTGAGTTAAATTCAGTATACTGTATAGCCACATGCGCTATCATTTTTGTGATAGTCACAAAGCCTGTTTTTATTGATCGTCCCTAGCGTTTCCCGGGCGTTCATACAATCGTCACGGTTTTGCCCCTTTTTTCTTTCCTGGTCATGCCGGGAACAAAACGCTGAAGCAGACGCGAGGGATGAAATCGAAATGAATGAAATGCCAGGACACAGTTTAAATGAGAAGGTATAGCTCCGGGAGGGGGGTGGGGTGCTGTGGGTTGTTTGTGCTTTCCCCCACGCCTCCATATCGGCAAAGGCCAGTTGTCTCAATTACATCCCATTGAGTCCAGCCACCTTTTCTTTTCGTGAGTACACGTGAAATATATCATCTTATCCTTGTTCCATAGAGGGTTCCTTGGGTTGCTGGCGGCAGAATTACCTGACCAGTTTCACGGCGCAGAGTACACCGTCTCGAAAATGTAAATACGGCGAAGAATCTCTGTGTTCAAACGATCAGGTTATTCATCTTTTTTTTTCTAAAAGCTGTACGTTTTCAAGTCAGCTTGAAGTGCGGGGGGGGCTTTGTTGCTGTATCAGTTGACTTTGTGCAAGTGTAATTCATGTCATGTACTAAACAAAATCGAAACAGACACTAAAAATTCCGATACACACAAAGTGCCGAATTGCAATTTGATTTACAGTGAATTGGTCTAAGTTCAACTCGGCACCTTCCATTTTCCTTGTCGACTATCATTCTCTCATATTAGATGTAAATATTCCATCCTCGTTCCCCAAGGAACACCACACGTACCCACGCATGCTATATCAGTGATATCCGTCTAAAATGGTACGTGCATTCCAGATTTTTTAATCAGAATTAATTTACAACGTTAATGTGGTAAATTGAGGCACTTCACGGAATGCCCATTTTTCACTAGGGACCTGAACTGCGTGAAAGATCAATACCGTTAATACAGTTTGTTAGCGCAGTTAGAATAATTTCTTCACACATGGAATGGAACATTTAATATGTCAGCGAAGAAAATTAGTATTTTAATTGCACAAATGTGAAAAACCTAACTTTTTATACAACGCCTGAATTACTGCTTAAAATGTGCC